GGCACAGTGCCAAAACCACAGTTGACATTCAGGACATAGTTGCAGCCGTTAGCAATGACAGTGATGATGGTGGTGATGATCGTGATCACAGAAAAGACATGGGCTGGTCATTGCCTACTGAATAAATCTATAAAATGTGACTGATATTGCTGTTTTGATTATTCTTTTTTTTTAAAGATTTTATTTATTTATTCGACAGAGAGAGAGCACAAGTAGGCAGAGGCAGACAGAGTGAGAGGGTGGAAGCAGGCTCGCCGCCGAGCAGAGACCCCGATGCGGTGCTCGATCCCAGGACCCTGGGATCATGACCTGAGCCGAAGGCAGAGGCTTTAATCCACTGAGCCACCCAGGCGCCCCTGTTAGGATTATTCTGTAAATGTGGCTAATTAAGCCTAGGTATGGTCATACATGAACTGTCACATACAAGTCTGTGTGTAGACATAGTTTTGTTTTGGATAAGTATCTAGGAGTGAAATTATATGCTAAGTGTATTTTTAACTTTTTAAGAAACTGCCAAACTATTTTTCAAAGAGGTTGTACCATTTTACATTCCCACCAGCAGTGACTGGTGGAAATATGATTCATTCTTGAAAGATGTCTTCCATTTCCAAAGCAAATAAATGATTGAAATGTGATATGATGGTGGTCATAAGCTAACCTTATATGAACTTACTCATAGAGTTGGTTGTGAGGATGAGATGAACTAATGCATAAAAAGCATTAGCAGAGTAAGTGCTCCTTATCCGTTAGTAGTATCGTCATTTTTATGTTAATTTAATTTCTTTGGTCATTAATAGTAGTATATTGTGTCTTATCTTGACAGACTAAAAATAAAGATAAAGAGGCTAGACTTAAAGTCTATTAAGGTCACATGTTGTGTAAAAAATACATTCATGGGACACCTTGGTGGCTCAGTCATTTAAGCATCCAACTCTTGATTTTGGCTCAGGTCATGTTCTTAGGGCTGAGATCCAGCCCTGGTCGGCGGGCTCTGTGCTCAGGAAGAGTCTGCTTAAGATTCTCGTCCTGCCCCCTTCCTTCTCTTGCACACGTGGTCTCTCCCTCTCATTCTCTCTCAAATAAATAAATATTTATTTTTTTTCCAGAGATTTTATTTATTTATTTGATGGAGAGAGAGAGACACAGTGAGAGAGGGAACACAAGCAGGGGGAGTGGGAGAGGGAGAAGCAGGCTCCCCACTGAGCAGAGAGCCCAATGTGGGGCTTGATCTCAGAATCCTGGGATCATGACCTGAGCTGAAGGCAAACGCTTAACCAACTGAGCCACCCAGGGGCCCCTAAAATAAATAAATAAATATTTAAAAAAATACTTACATTCATGAAAACATTCTTAAACAAAATACACATTCCTTTTTGTTTCCAGTAGAGGGGATGGTGAGACTTTAGGGCTTGCTTGCCTAGCAGTGTAGTAAATGCTAAGGCTTGCAGGAATTGTCGCTGTAGGCTTTTTTGTCATCTTCCTTTAGCTTTAGCTCTCAGTGAGTGACCTTTCATTATATACTGTTTATTTTAATCCTCAGGGCCTGAAATGTATTACTAATTTAGAGTTGATTATATCATTTAAAAAAAAATAAAGATATATACATTGACTTGTGATTATTTTGAAATGTTATTATAGAGACAGCACCTTCACTTTGGGAAGTGGAATTTGCGAAGCAGTTAGCCATGGTAAATGAACAGCCCCTTCAGAATGGTTTTGCAGAGATGATCCAGTGGACGAAAGAGGGGAAGCTGTGGGAGTTTCCAATTAACAATGAAGCCGGTAAGTTAATTTCATAGGTTTATAAAATTCTGTATGAAGATTAAATCTGGTTGGTGTTCAGTCATAGAGTCTAGATATTTATATGAATTTGAAAACTTTGTATAAATATCTCTGTGGTGTCTGAAAAGAAATTTGACCTTTTTTTTTTTTTTAAGTTAGAATTTCACTTAATTCTGGGTTGGTTGGTTTGTTTTTTTTAAAGATTTTATTTATTTGACAGATAGAGATCACAAGTAGGCAGAGTGACAGGCAGAGAGAGAGAGAGGAGGAAGCAGGCTCCCTGCTGAGCAGAGAGCCCGATGTGGGGCTCGATCCCCGGACCCTAGGATCATGACCAGAGCCAAAGGCAGAGGCCTTAACCCACTGAGCCACCCGGGCGCCCCTAATTCTGTTTTTTTTATTAAAAAAATAAAGAAGTAAAAAAAAAAAAATAAATAAATAAAAATAAAGAAGTAAAACTAGGGGGCGCCAGGGAAGCGCAGTTGGTTAAGGGTCCAACTCTTTTTTTCTTTTTTGGAAGATTTTACTTACTTATTTGAGAGAGAGCACGAGTGGGAGGGGAGGGGCAGAGGGAGAAGCAAACTCCCTGCTGAGCAGGGAGCCTTATGTGGGACTCCCATCCCAGGACCCTGGGATCATGACCTGAGCCAAAGGCAGACACTTAAGCGACTGAGCCACCCAGGCGCCCTTAAACGTCCCAACTCTTGATCTCAGCTCAGGTCTTAAGCTCTGTGTTGGACTCTGAGCTGGGCATGGAGCCTGTTTTTAAAAAAATAATAAAAATTTTAAAAGCGGGGCGCCTGGGTGGCTCAGTGGGTTAAAGCCTCTGCCTTCGGCTCAGGTCATGATCCCGGAGTCCTGGGATCGAGCCCCGCATGGGACTCTCTGCTCAGCGGGGTGCCTGCTTCCTCCTCTGTCTCTGCTTGCCTCTCTGCCTGCTTGTAATCTCTGTCTGTCAAATAAATAAATAAAATATTTAAAAAAATATTTTAAAAGCAAGTAAAATCATACGGTAGAAATGTATCGTGAATTTCTTTCTTTTTTTTTTTTTTTAAGATTTTATTTATTTGACAGAGACACAGCGAGAGAGGGAGCATAAGCAGGAGGAGTGGGAGAGGGAGAAGCAAGTTTCCTGCAGATCAGGAGCCCAATGTGGGGTTTGAACCCAGGACCCTGGGATCATGACCTGAGCCAAAGGCAGATGCATAATGACTGAGCCACCCAGGTGCCCCGTGTCATGAATTTCTATGTGACTTGAAGATGTTGATTACAAATGATGACAGTTTCCTAATTGCTAAGCAGGAGATTACCTAGAAAATCTTCTCATACATTAAATCTTGGGTATGAGATGATTTTGGTTTTAGAGAACATTACAACTCTTAAGTTTTATGCTGGTTATCTTTTACTCATAAAACTATTGCACTAATGAGATGTAAGGTTCTTGTGCTTAAATGCTACTCAAAGCAAAATTGTTAGAAGACTTCAAGATCTTTTGGAACTCTGGCTCCATACGTAGGTTCTTTGAACTGCTAGACGCTATGTTATCTACTTTCCTGAAGATTATTCTGGAGATATTACTTCTCTCTCACTCAAAAGGAAAACAGTATTACTATGCAATTTATTTCTTATCCTTTTTTTTTTTAGGTGTATTTTCAATTAGAAGAGATTCATTTACTTTTATGGTACCGTTAGCTAGGAAATGTAAACATCGCAGTAAGTCTTAGGAAAATGTAGTCCATATTTTAACCTTTGTAGTAGTATGCTGTCATTGTAACATTTTGTTTTTTTATAATCTTTCATTTGTTTGGATTAATAAGTGGAATGGAAGCTTAAGTATCAGAAATATTTTGTCTTATATCTTCATAAATTATTACTTTGTGTAGGAAAACTTTTTAGAGACTGATAATTCCTTTAATAAATTCTGAATATTTTGTGGATTTGTATGGTATATGCAGTCATAAAGGATGCTATGTTGCTGTGTTTCACCGGGTGTATATAAAATGTATATTTCTCAAAGTATTATGCTTTCCAGGGGCACCTGGGTGACTCAGTCAGTTAAACATCTGCCTTCAGCTCAGGTCACGATCCCAGGGTCCTGGGATCGAGACCCACATCAGGCTCCCTGATCAGTGGGGAGCCTGCTTCTCCCTCTGCCTCTGCCCCTGCTGCTTTCCCTGCTTGTAGTCGCTCATACTTGCTCTTTCTCAAAAAGAAAAAAAAAAAAAAATTTTAAAAAAAAAAAAAAAATTAAAAAAAAAAAAAAAGAAGTATTATGCTTTCCATACTCTGGTAGGTATCAGGGAAGGGTGAAAAAAAAAGCCCAAGGACTTTTCAGTTGTGCAAACCAGAGTACAGATCTAGCTCTCTCAGTGATTAGACATTTGCCTTTGAGAAAACAATTTAACCTCCCGAGGTTAAAAAACCAGATCAGTTTCCTCATCTGTAAAATTAAAGGCACCTCATTGGAAGAATGTAAGAACTAAGGCAAAGTTATTTGAGTTGCTCAGCACAGTTCTTAGTGTATAATACATGGAAATAAATGTTAGTTCATGTCCCTTCTGTATGAACACAGAATTTTAAAAGAAAAAAATTAGCAGAATGCAGTGTGTGATATTAAGGGAAAAATTCCTTATTTGATGAAACGTGGGTGTTCTGAGTCATCATAATTAAAAATATGGCTCTAAAACACAATATTGAGGTAGAATAACATGACTTTTTTCTTTTAAGATTTTATTTATTTATTTATGAAGGGGGGGGCATGAATGGAGTGAGGGGCAGAAGGAGAAGCAGATTATCTTCTGAGCAGGGAGTCTGATTCAGGGCTTGATCCCAGGATTCTGGGATCATGACCAGAGTGGAAGGCAGACTCTTAACCAACTGAGCCACCTAGGTGCCCAAACATGTGACTTTATATAGGTGAAACAGTGGTTAGGGGTTCAAGTTTTGAGTGAGTTGTATGCTTAATCTCACTAAGCCTCACTTCCCCTGTCTATAAAATGATGGGAATAAAAATAAAATTTATTCTTCTTCTGAATTCAGGTGATTCTTCTGAAAATCAAGTGAGATTATACAAGTAAAGCATCATCAACCATCATCATCTCTGTTTCTACAACAATATTATGAGAGGGTTTATTATACTGCAAGGGTCTTAAATCTTAAACTGTTAGTGAGGGTGTGTATTTGCTAGGAACCACCAAATAGGATAACAGGAAAGTAAGGGTTAGTGTACATTGTCCTCAAAAATAAAACATTTCGGGGCGCCTGGGTGGCTCAGTGGGTTAAAGCGTCTGCCTTCGGCTCAGGTCATAATCCCGCGGTCCTGGGATGGAGCCCCGTGTCGGGCTCTTTGCTCAGCAGGGAGCCTGCTTCCTCCTCTCTCTCTCTGCTTGCCTCTCTGCCTACTTGTGATCTCTGTCAAATAAATAAATAAAATCTTTAAAAAAAAAAAAAACTTCAGTTCATCAAAATCTTGAATGTCCAAACTCCAAAGAAATTTATCTTAAATTTGACCTGGGTTTTGAGCCAAGTTTAATTTTTACAAAAAGAAAAAAAAAATGTCTTTTGGCCAGGTTAGGGAGACAAATGTGACAAGTTTCCATATACACTTGTACATATTATTGATGCTTCAGGATGGGAAAGGGAGGTATCTCATTTCCAGCTCCTTGAGGCAATTGTTACCGAATGAAAAACAGGAAAAGAACTGTGGAAACTTTCTCACTTTGATCACTCCCCTCAGTATACAGTTTGGAACTTGAGAATACTTTAAGAGAGTGGCATTAGAATTTGAAGCCTCAACAGTTTAATATTATTCTTCTGTACTTCTTATTTTTAAATGTTAAGATTAATAAAATGTCATGCTCTCTCTACTAATAGTTAGCTTCATGAAAATTTACTCTGATGCTTTGAGGGAAAATTGTTTTATTTTTAGGGGTGGGCCATGCCAGTTTCTGAACATAATACTGAAAATGACAAAATGACGTGTCCTGTATTGACAGCTTTACTTTCCAGTGTTGTGTTTTTCATTTATATAGAAAATTGCAGTGTTTTGTTTTACCACATAAAACATATAAACTATTTTCCATTTTGAAGTAGCTTTTTTCCAGGTTGTTGTTGTTGTTGTTATTTTTAATAACTGTCCCTTCTGTTTTGTTTTGCCAGCATAGAGATTCATAAGAGCAGTTAGATGGCATTATTCCCACTTAGATTTTGTAATAGTTATTATATATTGGATTGATGATAAAAGCATTTTTATTTTGGCCTTAACTTTGACTTTAATTTTAATCATGTTTTTACTACTACACAGTTAACAGAGTCTTGCTCTTGAATATTCTTTAGCCATATATATGCCACCAAAAAGTGTTAAGTACAGTAAGTTTGGAAATGTATCAGTTTTTGATACATAACATGCTACCACCAAAATTAGTAAAACAACAACTAACTTACAACTGCTCCTGAATTTATGGGTTTTCTGGTAAGTTCTGGCAGCTTAGCTGTGGGTAGTTCCCTCTAGAGTGGCCTGTCTCACATGTCTGGTTGTGGGTGCCAGCTCTTGTCAGGGGAGGTAGAGATAACTGGGTTATCTGTCACGCATCATCTCAAAGACTAACTTGGACTTCTTCACATGACTGTAGTAAGGTTCATAACAGCAAGGAAGAGCAAGGATTGATGTGTAGGTACTTTTCAAGCCTGTGTTTGCACTGTGTTGAGTAATAGCCCGTTGACCAAAGCAGGTCACTTGCCAACCCTGAATTCAAGGGTTTGAGAAACAGACTCCATTTATGCAAAGAATGACAAAATCACATTGTGAAGGGGAATGTCTAGAAGCATGAGAGTGATACGATATGTGGCCATTTATCTGTCTGCCACCTTGATTTATTTTTTATTTACTTCAGTTTTAATAAAAATAATGTATAGGGGCACCTGGGTGGCTCAGTGGGTTAAGCCTCTCTGTCTTTGGCTCAGGTCATAATCTGGGGGTCCTGGGATCAAGCCCCGTGTCGGGCTTTCTGCTTAGCGGGGAGCCTGCTTCCCCCTCTTTGCCTGCCTCTCTGCCTGCTTGTGATCTCTCTTTCTATGTCCAATAAATAAATAAAATCTTTAAAAATAAATAAATAAAAATAAAGTATAGATCTTTAAGTATCCAAATAAATTTTTTTAAATCTCTTTCAGTAAATATAAACTAACTCCAAGTAAGTAGAAAGCTTTTAAGCCTTTTATTTTGAGATAATTGTAGATTCCCATGCCACTGAAGAGATAATAAATATCCTAGATAGCCTCTACCCATTTTCTCCCAATAGTTAACTTCCTACAAAACCGAACCGTAGTACAGCCAAGCAATTGGCATTGATACAATTCTCCAACCGTCTATAGATGTCACCAGCTTTACAAGTATTCCTTTATACATGTGTATTTAGTTCTGTGCAATTTTATCACATGTGTAGACTCAGGAAACCACCACCACGGTCAAGATACACGGTTCCATCATCTCAGAGCCCTCTTAGAGCCCTTCTTTTTTTTTTTTTTTTTTAATTTATTTGACAAATCACAAGTAAGCAGAGAGGCAAGCAGAGAGAGAGAGAGGAGGAGGAGGCAGGCTCCCTGCTGAGCAGAGAGCCCGATGTGGGACTCGATCCCAGGACCCTGAGATCATGACCTGAGCCGAAGGCAGAGGCTTTAACCACTGAGCCACCCAGGCGCCCCTCTTAGAGCCCTTCTAAGCCACACCTGCTTGCCTTCCACTGCCTCCCCTTCTTAGTCCTGGATCCCTGGCAATCACTAAATTCATTCACTATTTTTGTAATTTTGTCATTACAAGAAATATATACAAATAGAATCATAGAGTGTGTAACCTTTGGGAATTAACTTTTTTTCACTCAGCCTGATTAATTACCTGGAAATTTAGCCAATTGTTGCATGTATCAGTATGTTTGTGCCTTGTTTTTTGTTGTTTGGTTGGTTGAGGTTTTTTGTTTGTTTTTTAATTGAGTAGTAGTCCATGATTTGAATGTGCCCTATAGTTTCTTTAAGCATTCACCTGGTAAAAGACATCTGGGTTGTTAGCAGTTTGGGGCTATTATGAATAAAGGTACTATAAATATTTTTGTACAGAGTTTTGTATGAATGTAAATTTCTGTTTCCTTGGGGTAAATACCCAGGAGTGAAATTGTTTCATCATACGGTAGCTGCATGTTTAGTTTTTATTTTCTTTTTTATTTTCTTAAAGTTTATTTATTTATAATATCTACACCCAACATAGGGCTCAAACTCACAACCCCAAGATCAAAATCACATGTTCTACCAACTGAGCCAGCGGGGTGCCCTACATGTTTAGTTCTGTGTGTTTTGTTTTTGTTTTTTAAAGATTTTACTTATTTGTTCATTTGAGAGAGAGAGAGAAAAAGAGAGTGCAGCATGAGCCAGGGGAAGTACAGAGGAAGAGAGAAAGGGAGAAATAGACTCCCTGCCCAGGGCTTGGGAAGAGCCTGACACACTGCTTCATCCCAGAGCCCTGAGATGACCTGAGCGGAAGTCAGACACTTAACCAACTGAGCCACCCAGGGATCCCCTGCGTGTTTAATTTTTTTGAAGAAGCTTCCAAACTGTTTTCTAGAGTGGCTATGCCATTTTATATTCTCACCAGCAATGTGAACCATCTGGCTTCTCATTCTCACCAGCATTTGATGTTGTCGCTGTTTTTCTTTTAGATGTGTTTACATTCTGATAGATGTGTATTGATAGCTCATTGTGGTTTTAATCTGCATTTCCCTAATGGGTCGAGAGGTTGACCACATTCTTCTTGTGTGTGTTTGCTATTTATCTTTTTCAGTGAAATGTCTGTTCTTGTTTTTTGCCCATTCTCTAATTGGATTGTTTGGTTTTCTTACTATAGAGCTTTGGGAGGATTTTTGTTTTGTTTTGTTTTGTTTTGTTTTTTATATATTCTAGACCTTTATTAAATCTTTGGTTGCATTGAGGCACCTGGGTGGCTCAGTCGGTTAAACATCCGACTCTTGATTGCAGCTCAGGTCATGATCTCGGGGTTGTGAGATCAAGCCCCAATAGGAGGGATCAGGGATCCACTGTTAAAACTTCATTTAACCTTAATTACCTCCTTAAAGGTCCTGTCTCTAAATATAGTCACATTGGGGATTAGGACCTCAACCTATCAATTTTGAGGAGATACGATTCATAACAGGGTCTATTTCTGGGCCGTCCCTTTTGTCCCATCAATCTGTTTGTCCGTCTGCCAATACCACACTTTTGATTATTATAGCTATTTCAGTAAATCTTAGCATTATTGCTCCCATTTTATTCTTCTCTTTCAAGATTGTTATAATATTCTAGGACTTAGGCCTTTCCATATAAATTTTAGAATAAATTTGTTGGCAAAACTTTACTGAGATTTTGATAGGAACTAGTATTGGTTTTGTTGATCTTTCTCTATTTTTTTATTCTCAATTTTATTGATGTTGGATGTTATCTTTATTATTTCCTTCCTTTGCTTGATTTAGAATATTTTGCTCTTTTGCTAGTTCTTGAGGTGGGAACTTAGGTTATTGATCGAGACTTTCCCTCTTCATCTGTATTCATTTAGTGCCGTATGTATCCCTCGTAGCACTGCATTAGCCGTGTCCCACAAATTTTAATTTGTTGTGTTTTCATTTTCATTCAATTCTTAGTGTTTTTTTTTTTCAGTATATTGCTTGATCTTTAACTGTTTCCTATTGTCTTTCTGTTACTGATTTCTAGTTTGATTCCATTATGATCTGAGCATGTACTGTGTATTACTCCACTTATTTTAAATGTGTTGCGGTTTGTGACCCAAGATGTGGTCCAGCTAGGTGAATGCTCCATCAACTCCTGGAAAGATTTTGTATTCTGAAATAGTTTGGTGGAGTGTTTGTAGACGTCAGTTTGATAATGTTTGTTGTTGTTGTTCAGTTCTTCTTTATCTTGGCTAATTTTCTAATTGAGATGTTTTTCTTTCTCCCTAGTAATTTTTTTTTGTTTTGCTCTGAAGTCTCTTTTGTCTGATAATCATATAACCACTCACGCTTGCTTTTTAAAAAAATTAATGTTAACAAGATGTTTTTTTCTCCATCCTTTTATTTTCAATCTTCTGATTTTGTGTTTGAAGTGAGTTTCTTATAGAAAGCATATCATTGGATGCATGATTTTATATTCACTCTCCAATCTTTGTCTTTTGATTGGTGTATTTAGACCATTTACATCTGAAGTAATTATTGATTTGTTAGGACTTAAGTCTCCAATTTTATTGCTTGTTTTCTTTTCATTTTCTCTGTTTCTCATTACATTTTTTTGGGGGGGAGGGCTCCCTGTGAGCTGCTTGAACATGTTTTAAGATTCTATTTTGTTTTATTTATATAATTTTTTTGTGTAGTTTGTGTAGTTTTCTTAGTGGTTGCTGTAGAACTGAAGTTTTTATTAGCAGTAACTGCTGCTACACTTTGAACATTTATAATACGAATCATAATGTGAACATTTATAATGAACATTTATAATGTGCTAGGCATTATAAGAGTTTTATAAGCTTTGTATCTATGTAATCTTTACAGAAACCCCATGAAGAAGGTTCTATTTTAATCCTCATTTTATACCTGAAAACTGATGCTCAGAGAAGTTAATTAATTTGCCCAGTCACACAGTTGTTAAATTGGTGGGCAAACCTAGATCTAACTCCAAAGTTGATGGCTTTAACTGTAATATTCATTAGTGCTAATTTTGCAATAGAGATTTTACTTCAAAATTGTATTTTATCTCATTTCCTAGGTTTTGATGATGATGGTTCAGAATTTCATGAACATGTATTTCTGGATAAACACCTGAAAGATTTTCCAAAACAAGGACCAATTCGCCACTTCATGGAGCTGGTAACCTGTGGCCTTTCCAAAAACCCATACCTGAGTGTTAAACAGAAGATTGAACACATAGAGTGGTTTAGAAATTATTTTAATGAAAAACAAGACATTCTAAAAGAAAGTGGGATACAGCTTAATTGAAGACCATGGAAATTCTTATTTCAAGCTGTTGGTGTTGGATATTAAAACTAAATAAAATAATTTTACTAGAAGTTTTCCTATATTGTGTTAATTATTACATTTGATTTGAATGGTATAAATGTTAAAATGCTTTAAAATATATAGTGGTAACTGAAGAATATTCTTGCATCGAGAAAAGTTGTCAGTATTTACAGATTCAACTAGTAATTTTTTTTTTTTAAGATTTTATTTTTATTGATTTGACAGAGAAACAGTGAGAGAGGGGAGGGGAAGTCGGAAAGGGAGAAGCAGGGAGCCCAATGCAGGCCTCTATCCCAGGACCCTGGATCATGACCTGAGCCAAAGGCACCAGACACTTAACAACTGAGCCACCCCGGCGCTCCATCAACTGGTAATTCGTAACAAGAAGAATATCTTAGAATTACTACAACTTTAAGACAACTTCTTTTTCTTTTCAGTGACTATACTTCTTTGAAATACAATTATTAGCCACATATCTGATGACATCCAAGTGCTCTAACAGCTGAGATGGTTTATAGACAGGTTTATATGCACTGACTATGTATATTTAATACACATATTTTTATTTATATATCTTTATATATTTCACCCTTAATTAATTATCCTCATCTAAGTCTGGGTCATGAACAAGAAGTAACCTTGTAGAGATAAGTGGCTTATTCTAACCCCTCTAGTCCTTTAGGTCTTTGTGCCAAAGTTAGAACTAATTATTTTCTATTACGGTGCTTAGCAGCATGACTCAAATTCATACAACTCAAAGGAATAAAGATTCTAAAAAACTCAAAACAAGAATTTAGTTTGTAGTGGTCATACGCTAGTAGTGTTTTAGGCTCCCGGCATAAGCAAATGGAAATCCTATGAAGGAACCCATCATCGACTCAGAATTCAAATTACAAAACACATAAAGAAATAAAACAGTGTGATAGGACACGAGCAGAAGCAGACTCATAAAGTCTTTAAATGTTAAGCTTGGGGCACCTGGGTAGCTCAGTCAGTTAAGTGTCCAACTCTTGATTTTGGCTCAGGTCATGATCTCCAGGTCATGAGATCGAGCCCTGTGCCCTGCTCTTTCTTGGGTGTGGAACCTGCTCTCTCTCAAATAAATAAATAAATAAATAGTGGACTTATCATATACTACGAACTAAATGTAAGGGTAAAATATAGAGCAGGAGATAATAAAAGTTACTAGATGCTGGGAAACGAAAATTTAAGGAGTCTAACAACAGATTAGACACAAAGGTAGATCTAAAGAAATCCATGTGGGGGCACCTGGGTGGTTCAGTAAATTAAGCATCCAACTCTTGATCTCAGCTCAGGTCTTGATCTTAGGGTGAAGAGTATTGAACCTACTTAACCCACTGAGCCACCCAGGCGCCCCAAGAGTGTTGAATCTACTTTAAAAAAAAAATGCCTAGTGTGAAGCCTACTTAAAGAAAAATCCATATGTAGTGCAGAGAAGAAAAGAGAAAAGAAATTTGAAAGACAGGTAAAGATTGATACAAGAAGGGAACATTTGTTAGGAACCTGGCTGGCTCAGTTTGTAGAGTATGTGACACTTGAACTCATGACGCTTGAACTCAGAGCCATGAGTTCAAGTTGCATGTTGGGCATGGAGAACTACTTAAAAAAAGGTTTTTTTAAAAGAAGGTAACATTTGTGCAATCAGATTTACAGAAGGAGAGAAGAAGAAATGGGACAGAAGCTATCTGGATACTTGAGGAGTTTTTATGGTTTATGAGAGACATCAGTTGACAGACAGTAATCTCTTGCTCATATATAGAAACTGCACCCAACAACAACAAAATACATTCTTTACTAGTACATGGGGGCACCTGAATTTTTTTGAGTATTTAGTTCATTTTTTTTAAGTTCATGCACATTTTATTGAGTAGTAATATAAAATGCTTTTTCTTTGTCATTGTTCATTTATTTTTAATCATAGTTACTGATCTATTTGGATTTATTGTTACTAGCTTCTTTTGTGTACCCTTTGTATGCTTTGTTGCCTTCATTTTGGTTATTTTTTCTCATGTCATACTAGTGGAAGAGACGGATAAAACAAAATATCTTAAAAATAAGGGCTAAGGGGTACTTGGGTGGCTCAGTTGGTTAAGCATCTGCCTTTGGCTCAGGTCATGATCTCAGGGTCTTGAATCTCACATCAAGCTTTCTGCTCAGGAGGGAGCCTGCTTCTCCCTCTCCCTCTACCCCTCCCAGCCCCCACCCATGCTCTTTCTCTAATTAATAAAATATTTATTAAAAAGTGAGGGTTAAATACATTTGTTAGATAAAAGTAATTGGCTAGCAGCAGACCATAAAAATCCTAAAGATGTGCTTTAACTGAAAAGGACATAATCCCACATTTTAGGTATGAAATATAAGAAAAAATAGCAAAGTGATAAATATCTAAGTTAATTATAAAATAGTAAAATGTCTTATGGGAGTGATTAAAATATATGACAATAATAGGATATGTGAAGATGAAATTTTTGTTTTATTTTATTTGAGAGAGAGAGAGCGCACACAAGCAGGGGGGATGGGCAGAGGAACAGGGAGAAGCAGATTCCCAACCAAGCAGGGAGTCCAAAGCAGCCCTTGATCCCAGGACCCTGGGATCATGACCTGAACTGAAGGCAGACACTTAACTGAGTGACCCAGGCGCCCAGGATGAATTTTTTAAAATGTCAAGTGATAGTGCTCTTTGGCAGAGACACAGCTAAAACAAGAATACCAGAAGTTTGGAAGTAAAGGGAAAAAATGGACAAGTGTTAATCTGGTTGTGGCTAGATTCACATCAGAAAAAAATAGTCTGGGGCGCCTGGGTGGCTCAGTGGGTTAAAGCCTCTGCCTTCAGCTCAGGTCATGATCCCAGGGTCCTGGGATGGAGCCCTGCATCAGGCTCTCTGCTCAGCGGGGAGCCTGCTCCCTCCTCCCTCTCTGCCTGCCTCTCTGCCTACTTGTGATCTCTGTCAAATAAATAAATAAAATCTTAAAAAAAAAAAATAGTCTGACAGACATTATTAGAGACATTATTTTTAAAATGATAACTTAATAACTTAAAGAAATTGGATCTCAGGGCACCTGGGTGGCTCAGTGGTTAAAGCCTCTGCCTTCAGCTCGGGTCATGATCTCAAGGTGTGGGATTGAGCCCCACATCGGGCTTCCTGCTCGGCAGGGAGCTTGCTTCCCCTCCTCTCTGCCTGCCTCTCTGCCTACTTGTGATCTTTGTCTGTCAAATAAATAATCTTAAAAACATAATAAAATAAAAGAGCATCTACATGGCTTTAAAAAAAAAGAAAGAAATTGGATCCCTAGTTTAATGACCTTCCTAGTATCAGCCACAGCAACTTCTTTCAAGATATGTCTCCAAAGGCAAAGGAAACAAAAGTGAAAATGAACTTTTGGGACTTCATCAAGATCAAAAGCTTCTGCACAGCAAAGGAAACAGTCAACAAAACAAAGAGGCAACCCACAGAATGGGAGAAGATATTTGCAAATGACAGTGCAGACAAAAGGTTGATATCCAGGATCTATAAAGAACTCTTCAAACTCAACACACACAAAACAGACAATCATATAAAAAAATGGGCAGAAGATATGAACAGACACTTCTCCAATGAAGACATACAAATGGCTATCAGACACATGAAAAAATGTTCATCATCACTAGCCATCAGGGAGATTCAAATTAAAACCACATTGAGATACCACCTTACACCAGTTAGAATGGCCAAAATTAGCAAGACAGGAAACAACATGTGTTGGAGAGGATGTGGAGAAAGGGGAACCCTCTTACACTGTTGGTGGGAATGCAAGTTGGTGCAGCCACTTTGGAAAACAGTGTGGAGATTCCTCAAGAAATTAAAAATAGAGCTTCTCTGTGACCCTGCAATTGCACTACTGGGTATTTACCCCAAAGATACAGATGGAGTGAAAAGAAGGGCCATCTGTACCCCAATGTTTATAGCAGCAGTGGCCACAGTCGCCAAACTGTGGAAAAAACTAAGATGCCCTTCAACGGACAAATGGATAAGGAAGATGTGGTCCATATACACTATGGAATATTATGCCTCCATCAGAAAGGATGAATACCCAACTTCTGTAGCAACATGGATGGGACTGGAAGAGATTATGCTGAGTGAAATAAGTCAAGCAGAGAGAGTCAATTATCATATGGTTTCACTTATTTGTGGAGCATAACAAATATCATGGAGGACAAGGGGAGTTAGAGAGGTGAAGGGAGTTGAGGGAAATTGGAAGGGGAGGTGAACCATGATAGACTATGGATTCTGAAAAACAATCTGAGGGTTTTGAAGGGGTGGGGAGTGGGAGGTTGGGGGATCCAGGTGGTGGGTATTAAAGGAGGGCACGGATTGCATGGAGCACTGGGTGTGGTGCAAAAACAATGAATACTGTTACGCTGAAAAGAAATTAGAAAAAAAAATCTTCCTAGAAAGGGGCACCTGACTGGCTCGGTAGAGCATGAAACTCTTGATCCCAGGGTTGTGATTTCTAGCCCCACACTGGGCATAGAGATAACTTAAAAAAAAAAAAAAAAAATCTTCCGAGAAAGAAAGCAACAACTTCAGACTATTTCTCAGGAGAGTTTTAAGCCTTCAGAAGAAAGGTAATTCTTGGGGAGCCTGGGTGGCTCAATGGATTAAAGACTCTGCCTTCAGCTCAGGTCATGATCTCAGAGTCCTGGGATCAAACCCCACATCCGCTCTCTGCTCAGCAGGGAGCCCGCTTCCTTCTCTTTCTCTGCCTGCCTCTCTGCCTACTAGTGATTACTGTCAAATGAATAAAATCTTTTAAAAAAAGAAGAAGAAGAAGAAAGGTAATTCTTACACAAATTATTCTAAAGCACAGAAAAAGAACAAACAAACCTCAAATTAATTTCAAGAGACTAGAATTAACAAAGGTTAATCATAATCATGAAGGCACATTTGAAAAACCAAACAACATGGCAAACTAAATCCAGCAATGAATAGGAAAGAAACAATAGTCAAACTGAGTTTATTCCTGGAATGCAAGGAAGGTTTAACAATGGGGAA